TGGAGTGGAGTGGAGTGGAGTGGAGTGGAGTGGAGTGGAGTGGAGTGTGTGGGTGAGCGAGTGAGCGAGAACCGAACCTTTGGCTTCTATAGAAAAGCTCAACACAGGATCCTGCTCAGAAGCGCACGGAAGCTCTGATCAGAAAGACTGGGTTGCAAAAGGCGCTACAGAACCTCTTGCACAAACCATTTGCTGCTTGAAGGAATAAACAAAAGCACATCAAAGCACTTGTCACGGTGCAATCAACATATATAATCAGAGTGAGGGGCCCGTGTGAAGAGTTCTCCTTCGCCCCCCTCTGACTGAAAGCCAGGTGAGTGGGTCAGTGAGTGAGTGCAAGTGAGTCGAGATGATGTGAGTTGAGTTGGTGAGGAGGAGGCGGGAGGAGGAGAAGGCGTAGGCGGACAGAATGCAGAATAGAAAGTAAAAGTAAGGGCCCCGGACAAAGATGAACAAAGATGCGGGGATGGCATACTAGTAGCTTCTTGTTACTAGTAGTCTGGTCAGGAGCCCCTAGTAGCGTCCTTGCTCCTAGTAGTAAGGCCAGGAGCCCCCAGTTGGTAGCTTCTGGTTAGGTTCTTAAAGAAAACGCGAAGACTTCTTTGCAGCGGTGTAAACCAACTTCTTACTCTGCTTCCACATCGAGGCCCCACCTTGATCAGCTCTCGTGGCTGAATGTAGAAGAGCGAGGCTGGACCTCCACACGACAACAGCATGTCCAATCACCCAAGGAACAGCTTTCTGAAAGCTTCTTGTTGCTCCTCCCCTTGGTCCTAGCTGTCTCTTTCACATCCGTTCCTTTGGCTCTTGACCTTCTTGGGGTCTCAGAGTCTTCTTCAAAGGATAGGGTGATCTTAAGCTACCTCAATATCTAAAGGGATCCTAAAGACCTGCAGCATGACCTGAAGGTCTTGCCAAGCTTTGATGAACAGCAAATCTGATTGCCACTTGACAAGCAGAATTCCAAAGACTCTACAAAGAATCCAAGCACGGCAGGGCATATTTTCGCTTTCGAATACCTATAACCGACCTAAGCGTCCTCAATGACCGCAGAAGACCCAAGGGCTCCTGACCCCACTCTAAGAGTGCAATATTCCGCATGGCCAGGACGCAGCCCTTGGCAAGGTGTGAAAGCAGTTCAATTCGGCTCACGTGCAAACAAACCTTCAGAGGGGGCGAATGTACATCTGTACCACCCATGCATGTTTCTCTGTAGGCAAGTCAGCAGGAAAGTACTTTACACACTGAGACTCCGACAAGAAATCAGCATGATATGCCAAACAACTGCTTTGGAGCAAAAAACATTTGGAAATAGGGTTGGTAATGTACCATGCCATGTCTAACTAAGAACCTTATGGTAACTTATGGTGCTCAAAATGTTGGTCTGATGAACAATACCTCTAATCTTCATAGCTCGCCAACTGAGCCACAACGGCACAGGATAAATCAGCGATGGCACTGCTCATGGCCTTTGAACTGGGAATAGGGACACCCAGGAAGACCTTCGCAAAAGGATACAAAGCAAAAACACGAGTATGTTTGCCTGATAGCATCAGGTGTTCCTAGTAGCGTCCTTGTTCCTAGTAGTAAGGCCAGGAGCCCCTAGTAGCGTCCCTTGCTCCTAAATGTTGGATCGTCCATGATCTTTGGACTTTAGGTCCACACAGAATGCCTGTGGCTTAGAGTTTGTCAAGGAAGCTTGGGGTCCCTAGC